GTGTGTGTGTGTGTGTGTGTGTGTGTGTGTGTGTGTGTGTGTGTGTGTGTGTGTGTGTGAGTGTGCGCGCGCACATCTGAATAAAACTATTATTCTAAAAACTAAATTATAGTTTTTAAAACTAACATATACTAAACTACAAACTATATACACACACACATATACATATATTATTAATTTAATTATAGGCTCATGAAAATGCATGTTCCTCATATTTATAATCCTGTGGAACAGGAAGTCATGGTTGGACAATTTCATGCTCCTAGTCACCCTGGTGTGCTAACAAAATGTAAACATGAATAGGAATACACTTCAGAGATATTTTACTCATAAGAATTTCTAGGGGTGCCAAGAATTGCGGCCAACATGCATTGGAGAAAAACATTTATTTCATAATGAGATTTTCTCCCCACTTTCCATTGTTTTATTTCAATGATAGGTTAGAATTTTGAGAATTTTTTTGAATGAAAGATCAAAAAGAAAAAAAATGCAAATGTACATTTATTCATTTAGCAGACGCTTTTATTTAAATAAAATAAATAAATACATTTATTATAAATTTCTTTTCACAGCCATCTTTGCTCATATTTACCAAGGGTGTCAATATAGGTGGAGGGCACTCTCTCTCTCTCTCTCTCTATATATATATATATACAAGGCTGCTTAACAGCTGCATGATACAGAGAGCCAGACTCAAAACACCCCATTAATGTATGTCTAAGGGATTTCTGGGATATTTCATTACCTTTAACACAACCACATTACATGTGAGCTATAAAAGAACAAACTCTGAGCAATATATTTTTCTTTAGGCAAAGAAAATCACAATCACACACTCCTGAACTGACATAAACGGGCACAAAGCAGTAATCTCGAGGGTTTACCTGCGGAATCCTCCTGTGATGCTGACGGTGGCGGATGGGTTGACACAGATGACAGCTTCCTCCACTATAATCTTCAGAGCGCTGGCCTCTGTCCTGCTCACCGGCTTACTGATGTCCTCATAAAACAAGAACCCTGCGACCAGAGCAGATGAATAAAAGATTGAATGACAAACACCCACCAACTGTTGCGCAAACTAGACTTTTACACTGTCTGAAGAAAATTAAAATGTGAGAGGAGTTTCCCTGTGAAAACTCATCAGATTTGGAGAAATGTAGCATTGCATCAGTGTCTCAGCAATGGATGCTCTGCAGTGAATGGGTGCCGTCAGAATGAGAGTCCAAACAGCTGATAAAAACATCACAATAATCCACAAGTAATCCACAGCACTCCAGTCCATCAGTGAACATCTGGAGAAGACAAAAGCTGAAACAAATCCAGCATTAAGATTTTTAACTTCAAACCATTGCTTCAGGTAAAATACAAGGCCATAATCCCCAACTTCCTTCAGTGAAAAAGTGCATCTCCTGTTGTCTCTCACGTCATAATCCAGCCACATATTTGTTTAGAGCTGTTTAAACGGTGCTTGATCTGTGCAGATTTCTCTCCTGATGCAGACCAGAACACTTTTTCACTGGAGGAAGCGTTATTATGGATTATGTATTGTATTTTGGCCAGAAGTGACGGTTTAAAGTTAAAATGCCTTGACAGATTTGTTTTAAAATCTGAAGAAACAAACTCATCTACATCTTAAATTGCCTGAGGGTGAGTAAATTCTTTAGCAAATCTTAATTTTTGGGTGAAATATTCCTTGAACACCAATTGGTTAAAGATGTTTTTTCATTCAACATAATTTCTTAGTCTAGAGGTCATGTTCATATATAATTTTTTTTTTCGTAACACGTTAACTAATGTTAATTTATACTACTTAAAATGTCTTTATAAAGACATTTTAAGTAGTATAAATTAACATTAGTTGACGTATTATGAAAAAATTATTTTAACATATTAATTGTATACTCAAATCCTTGTTATCTACTATCCCCCACAGTTTTCTTAGAGCTGTTTAAACGGTGCTTGATCTGTGCAGATTTCTCTCCTGATGCAGACCAGAACACTTTTACACTGGAGGAAGCGTAATGATGGACTCTGATGTTAGTTAAAAACGTCTTAATGCTGGATGTGTTTCAGCTTTTGTCTTCTCCGGATGTTAACTGATGGACTGGAGTGCTGTGGATTATTGTGATGTTTTTATCAGCTGTTTGGACTCTCATTCTGACGGCACCCATTCACTGCAGAGCATCCATTGCTGAGACACTGATGCAATGCTACATTTCTCCAAATCTGATGAAGAGACAAACTCATCCTAATCTTGGATGGCCTGAGAGTGAGCACACTTGCAGCACATTTACATTTTTGGTGAACTATTCCTTTAATGTACAAAAAAGATGGTACTACCAATGAAAACTTTCTTTGTCAGCCTTAAAGAGAAATATACAGGAGACGTTCCTGGTTTTTATCTTGGAGTTTTTGATCTGCTTTCTAATATTGTGAACTTCTTCCCTTGTGCTGCTGTCACACTTAATAGAGCACAACCGTGTCTCCAGAAATTAATTTTCTCCATAGAGAAAACGACTTTCAGTGATAAAGCACCTTGAGTGACAGACTTGAGTGCACCTTAAAGTTGCTTTGGTTAAAAGCATCTACCAAACACATAAATGCAAATGTAAAACATACTTCACCCAAAATCGTGACGAGAGATTCATCACTCAGAGTTCTCAAAACTATACTTACATGTTTGTATATATCTGCATACATTGCAATGAAGTTAAAATATATTTGATGTAAGGAATTAGTTCAAGTTCAAAGGGAATCGAATCCAAAGATTTGAAATCAAATCAAAATTGATAGTTTACACTTTATCAACTATTCGTCCAGCGAAACGTTAAAATTAGTATATCTTAACAATTTTGTTATTTATATGATCCCCTTGGCCAAAGGTCATAATACTGTACATGCTAGTGATAATGTATTTGCTAGGTAACAATATCTGGGCATGAGGTTAGCTTTATAAACAAAGAACACAAGACACTGCTTCTTGATCCCCTTGGCCAAAGGTCATGATACTGTACATGCTAGTGATAATATTTGCTAGGTAACAATATCTGGGCATGAGGTTAGCTTTATAAACAAAGAACACAAGACACTGCTTCTTTAAAATGAAACAAGAATTTATTATTTGCTACTCTAAGATACATGAAACTACTACTAAAAAAAACACACACACACACACACACACATGTACAGTTGAGAGGATGAGAGTTACTGTGTTTGAATGAAGTCCCAAAAGTCTAGTAGTTGCTAGTTCTTAAATCGCACCCCAAGAAAATCACAAAAGCAGAGATTTGGCTTATTTTTAGCTGCTTAAGATAGATTCAGAACCAATTTTTTTTGCAAGAAAGGAGACTTTGTTTGTTTACTTGCGTTTGGTTGAAAACATGTTTTTCCTCATTGGCTTGTCTCAGAGAATCACGGCGCTTCTGATTGGCTGGCGAAATATTATAATAATAGAAATAGAAATATTATAATATAATAATGTTAAATATTATTATTACAATGTAAAATAGCTGTGAATATATTGTAAAATGTAATGTATTTCTGTGACGCACAGCTGAATTTTCAGCATCATTACTGCAGTCTTCAGTGTCACATGATCTTCAGAAATCAGTATAATATGCTGATTTGATGCTCAGGACACATTTCTGGTTATTATCAATGTTGAAAACAGGTATGCTGACAAATAGGTATTTTTGTGGAAACTGTGATACATTTTTCAGAACTCTCTGATGAATAGAAAGTTTTAAAAAAAACAGCATTTATTTGAAATCGAAATCTTTTGTAACATTATAAATGTCTTTACTGTCACTTTGATTAATTTAATGCATCCTCGTCAAGTATTCATTTCTCTCAATAAATACTGTAGATATTTAATAAATACTGTAAACATTTTAAGTGGAGACTGATGCATGCTGCTATAAGTAGAAAAGCATCATATATTTGATGTCATTCACTGAACTTCAAAATAAACACATCACAAGCGCACAGCCAGAGAAATCACTAGGAAAACCGAGATCTTTTCCAACAAGAGACTTTCTGATCCGCCTCTCACCCGACTGGAAATCTCCCGAATGGGATCTGCATAATTGTTTGAAGCCAGCGTGTTGTTTATAGATCAGCAGGGCGTGAATGAGCGCCTGAAGACAGCGGTGGAAAATTACGAGGCCTGACGATTAAAAAACACTAGCGGTGTGCCTCATTAAACTTACAGTAGATTTTTCTAAACAATCAGTAATTAACAACACGGCCCTCCATCATAAATCCACATTAAGACTCGAGGCCATAAAACAACAGGTCAGATGAGGCGATTGCTTTAAACGCTAACAATAAAATCATATCATAATTCATAAATGAGATGACAGCGGGAACACGGCTGGCCTTTTCCCAGCCTGATTGATGAGCTCTGAATGTATAACAACCAAAACTGTCGCCATTCTCCCACTTCCTTCCGCCTTTTAATACGTGACGCTCCACATGAATCCAGACTCATCGATGAGTGTATTTATATTCTGAGGGGTTTTGTGTGCGACGCTCCCGAAGCACAGCACAGCGCAGGAGCCCTCGGCTCCAGACACACACCGTCAGAGGCCGACAGCTGCATAAAAATGACCTGCAAATGATGAGTGTGGTTTGGCAGGAACATTTATCATGTCTACACTGTGTTTTTACTCAGAGAGAGAAACAGAGAGGAGGTCTGGCTTAAAAACCTTCAAACACTTGACACTAGTCAAAAAGTGACTCTTCTCTGAAAACATTATAAACTGTGGTAAAACAGTGTTGTTTTGGACACATACTCTGGTGAGTAAGTGCATGGTAAAAACATGGTATTCCTGGAAGTGCTTTAGAATACCAGGCCTGGGAATTGGCATAAACCTCCCAATTTTATATTATAATGATTTCAAGCTGCCGATTCCATATATATATATATATATATATGTGTTGTTGTTGTTTTTTGTATTTTTAGTATTTTTATTAAGCATGTTTTAAGTAGTTTTATTCATTTAAATATAAAATTATAATTACAAAAGTAGTTTAAAATGATAATAAATAAAAACAATGGTGTGTAATAAAGTATTTTTCAAATAAACATTTAGCTGCCAATTAAATATGTATTGAGACATTTTATTTTATACTGTTAGTATTAAGTAAAAATTTCTTAAGCATTTTATAAATTTTGTCTCTCTGTGTCCAGGATGATAACTGCTGTTTATTTATTTTTATATTTAAAAAGTTCTATTGCAAAAAAAGAAATCCAAGGCAATTCTTCTGGTCCAAAAAAGTAAAAAAAAAAAAAAAAATTATATATATATATATGTATGTACAGAAGAATGTCGGAGGATTTCGATAAAAGCCAAGAGGAGACTTGTTAAAGGTTTTCTCTTGTTAAAGTAAGGAAACTTTGCTTCCTTTGCTCCTGTAAACAAACGTTGGTTTTCACGAGACTCACCGGCGCATGCGCAGCGCTGAACTCATACGTCATCCGCCCGGAACTGCTTCTGTTTACAACAGTGAGTGCAAGCTACATTAAAATGATTATTACGTTTTGAATATGGATTTTTTTTTTTCAAAAACGCATTGATTAGCTACAGAAGGCCTTTGTTCACCCTCCGGAGCTGTGTGAGACACTTTTTATTATGGATGGGCGATTTTTATTTAACTTCTTTTGGACTGATGCATGCAACACCCGCTGAGTGACATTTTTTTATATAACTCCGACTGGATTCGTCTGAAAGAATAAAGTCATAAACACCTAGGATGCCTCGGGGGTGAGTAAAACGCAGCCTAATTTTCATTTTTTGAGTGAACTAACCCTTTAACATCTATCATTTCACACCTCTCTTTCCAAACCTGTTCAGTCGAAGCGTCAGTGTTTATGTCACATATTCCACTGAAGGCGAGTATAGACGAACCCAAGTGCAGCTTTATTAAAGTCAAACGTGAGCAGATACAAAAAACAAACAAAGACTTGGCTAGACGTGGAACAAAACATAATCGAGAAACTCACCAACAGAGGATTA